GGCGAATGGAATTAGGCCTGTGGAAGCCTCGGATCACCACCTTAGCGGCGCAATGTAAGGAAAAAGATTCTAGCGTGAAGGATTCTTACAGTGCGGACAGCGAGCAGATCGAGGACAAGCTCGGTGCAGCGAGACGAATCAGCTCAATCAACGACATCGCGAAAAACTCGGTCTAGCGTAATACCATCGCGCGGCTAGGAGGCGATCGTCGTAGCGTGACTGCCTCCGCGTCGAGTTCTGGCATCTCTCGCGATCGCATCCACTTTCCAACTTTCGCCTGTAAAGATGCGCTGCGTCTGCGTGCGTGGCGTAGTGGCGAAATTGAACGCCAGCCGAAAAGAATGCAAACGAGAAACGAGGCCGACGACGGAGATGATCGACGACGCGTATGGATCGACTCGTCCAGGACGCGACGGGATGGGACGCGACTGGACGCGACGCGCGACGCCGCGGCCGTGTCGAGACGATTGGAACGCCGAAGCACGAAGCACTGCGTGCGCGCCCGCTCTCTCTCTCTCTCTCTCTCTCTCTCTCTCCCTTTGCTCCGCGCACGTAGCGTAGCACAGCTGATCGCAGCTATTTACGCAACCGAGCGCCGCGCGGCCGCTCCCGTGCGGACGGAACGCAGTGCCGTTCGTATCGCACCATGGACGTTCACCATTTTGGTAAACACTCGGGTCACGTGATCCCCCGCTGGACCTGGCTGGCCCCGCTGGCCCCCCCAAGAGATTTGCTACTCCCTTTACTCCAGAAAACCGCTCGTGCTCGCGCTCGGCGCTCGACGCTCGCCTCGCGACCAAAATCTCTTCTCACACCTACACAACATGCAACGCGACTCTCGCATGGGCGATCCGAAGTCTGGGCCCGCCGCAGAACTTCACATCACCTCATCGGCCTACCGTGAGCGGTCGTACAAGTGACACGAAAACAGGACCGTAGTAAGTACAACGACACGCTGAGCTGAGTATCTATCGGCGGCGCGCGGTCGCGGTCACGACGTCACGACCACCGGGCACCGCACTCTATACCCAACTCTACCGCCGACCGCGAACCACGGTGAGATTGGTGAGAAATTGAAAACCGTTGAGAACTACTGCGCGCGGGTCGAGGCTCGAGCTCGAGCGAGCGCAAGTCTGCCGCAAGCACGTCTACCGGGTGTTTAGAAAACTCGTCGTATACGTCTTACAAGCGTACGAGAGATCGCGGTCAATTTATCCGATACTTACGGAGAAACGGAAACGTTTCAGCTATTTATTTTTTTGGAGCTTTCATTACCGAAATATTTAAGCACTAAGATATCCGCTTACACCTTAATTATCTCATTTACTCTCATGCATCGGTCTAATTAAGAATTATTATTATTATTTATATACAATACACTTCTCTTTGAAAAACGACGTTTTTATTTAGTAGTTATTAGTTATATTGTTGACAAATATATTGCCTTATGGTGATCGAATTTTCGCACCTTAATTTCGTATCCTTTCTTTCTATTTTAAGAATGTTTACATTTATAAAGCTCAGTTTAGGCGAGTTACAGCTTAGTGATAGAAACTAAAGGCGTTTAATTTTTATTACGCGTATGTATTTTAATATATATTTTATGGCCCGTACTCAGAACGCGCTTACAACGAGTTAGCGCGCTAACATACTATACTTTACATTATGCATATTATAGAATTTCAGAGATTATTCGTATTCAAACCCTTTTTATTGATAAAAACGCGCTTCTATTTCTGAAATTCTATAGTATGCGTGACATAAACTATAGCATGTTAGAGCGTTAACATAGTTGTAAGCGCGTTCTGAATACGGGCCAAAAGCGCATCCTGAATAAAGGCTTATAT